AGGGAGCTGATGGGATACTGGGATGGGGAGACCACCAGGGGCTACCAAGGAAAACACACCAAAACCTCTGCTCCTCAAAAATAAGGGGAGGATGGAGGAGAAAGGATGAATTTGGTGTCATTCTGCTTGAAACAGGGTGATGTGACACATCCTAAAGCCCATCCCTGCCCTCACCTTATGGAGGCACACAGAGACTAATGAGTATTCTGAGCTTAAAACTCTGAAAGCAGGAATTCAATCAGCCCTAATGTCCCACTTTGGACTCAGTGTAGTGCATCTTCACCAGCTCCCATTTTGCATCAACTGTCACAAGTCAGAAAAACCCCAGCTCTGTTTTGTCATCTGCCGCACCTATACAAATGGAGAATGAAATTCCTCAAAGAAAAATAATTAATTTTTGGAAAAAATATTCAGACACAAACAGGGCATCACAGACTTATTGAATTGCTTTAGTTAGAAAAGCCCTCTAAGACCATCGAGTCCGACCATTCTCCCAGCACAGCCAAGTCCACCACTGACCCCTCTCCCCATGGGCCACATCCATGTGGCTTTTAAATCCCAACAGGAATAGGGGCTCCAACACTGCCCTCTGGACAGCCTGTTTTGATGCCTGACCACCTTTTTTTGTCAAAATCTTTTTTCCTAATATCCACTCTCTCCTCCCCTGGCCCAGCCTGAGGCTGTTCCCTCTCCTCCTGTCCCTGTTCCCTGGGAGCAGAGCCCGACTCCCCCAGCTGTCCCCTCCTGGCAGGGGGATGTGCAGAGCCACAAGGTCCCCCTGAGCCTCCTTTTCTCCAGGCTGAGCCCCTTTCCAGCTCCCTCAGCCCGCCCCCGGGGCTCCAGCCCCTTCCCCAGCTCCGTTCCCTGCCCTGGACTCATGACACTTGTCCCCTTTGCCACCATAAATTGTGCTCCCTCATAAAATGAACTGGGGATGGCTCTGGATATCTGCTGGTTTCCTTTGAGTATTGTGAGCTCCCAAAAATCCTCCTTTCAGGGAAAACAGAAAAACCACCTCCTGGGTCACATATCTGAAAT